GTCTGCACATATAACTTGCTGACCTTTTGAGCTCTCGGTATACCACCTAACCCGTAGGCGTTGTGCTCGATCGCAATGTTGCGAGGTAGTCAGTCTGCAGTTCCACTTCCCCCATTGTACTAGCTCTCTTACTGGTACTGCCGAAAACCACTTGTACCCGTAAAGGGCGGTACTTAGGGAGTTTGAGTTGACTCCCTTACATCAAGAGAGCTCTCAGAGAGCAGGTATACAAATCGAGTGAAAAACGGTTCGGCTGTCTGTCGATAAGTTCATAATAAGTTCATCGTATCATAGTTGGGCATTCGGCATTCAAAAAAAAATAATAAAAAAATTATGAAATAAATACCCAAAGTTTATCCTAAACCATTTAGCCTCCATAGCTGAGAGAAAGATATGAGCACTGACGCCGGCGCACTGTCTATCTGCCAGTCTGTCTGCTGTCAAACAGTAATTACCAGCGATAATTTGCGCCGTCAAAATCAGTAAAACGAAAAGGTCTGAAATAAACACTAATAAGCTAAATTTTTATGGCTCACTTAGCGCACAAAGCGTGTATGCATACATACATACACACGTACTTGAGCAGAGGTGTCGCCAACTAGTTAGATGTAGCATGAATGAATTGCAGTCGTAATTGCACTTGGCCACTTTATTTTTTAAAATATTTTCTTTTTTCGTTTCTTCTTTTTTTATTACGTGTACTTAAGTCCTTTTTTCACTCAGCTCGGATTGCAGTACCATTTACAAGTATTTTTGTTGTTACTGTTTTTTGTTTTCTTTTTTTTTTTGTTATTTGTTACTTGCAGTCTTGTTAGTACAATACTTCTTGTTGCTTGCTGACTGGTCCTCCTGTTGTTTTTGTTGTTTTTATTGGTTGTCACTTGATTTTTGTTGTCGCGTCGCGCCACCTTCTGTGTCTTGATGCCCATTTTAAATTGCAAATTACGCGAAAGTGCCAACCTGCAACTTGTCACATGACAAGTGCCACACTTGTAAACATACACACACATATACATACATACTTAAATGCATACATACAGACGTACATACAGCCAATGCTATGCATATGTAATTTGCACTTAACACAATGACAAGCCGAGCAATTTAGCGCATTCAGTGCATTGAAATGCGAATGAAAAGGTGTGTGAACACAAAAAAAAAAAAAAAAAAAATCAACACAAAACAGCAACAACAACTGATTGCTTGCAAAATGAAAGAAAAATTTGTACTTTTTTGCACACTTTTTTGCAAAGTATTTATTCATTCACAATGCATAGCCGGCATTTGTTGGATTTTGTTGTGCATAAATTTGTGTTTAACTCATTTAATATGCAAATTACTAGCTGCAACAACAACAATAACAAGTAAAGTAAGCATATTGCAAGAGTTTGTTGTAATTGTCTTCAATTTAGCGGTGTGAATTCACATTTTCTCTCATATGAACTCATTTTTGTTGTATTTATTTTGATAGTTATTATTAACTACAGGGTGTGTGGTTTTCTATTAAGCACTACATTATTTGTAGTAGGTCTTTTTGACAGCTGTTAAGTGCTTTATACTCAGTTTGGTTTGACTTTTCAAAAGGACCTTGAATTACTCCGGAACAACGTTTGCACATCGTGAAAATTTATTACCAAAATAGTGTTTCGGTCCACATAAATGCCCAACAGACATGGTAATTCGTGCAACTATATATCGGTGACGTCCAGCAGACTCTAGTGTATAATGCGCGTCCTCGAAGACGGCGTACAGTTCAAAACAAGCCCCCTATTGCTGCTGTGGAGCAACGTATCAAGACCCCAACGAGTCCTTCCGCCAGCGCACATCACAATTGGAGCTGTCCCCATGCACTTTACGAAGATTTTGGTTTGCGAACACGTTCGGTGCCCGCCGATCTCGATTTTCACATGAAAACTTTGTTCAGCCATGAAGCTTGGTACAAAATACCAAACAAGATTGCCGCATTTATAGTCAGCATAATTCTCAGAAAGTCATTGTTTGGTGTGCTCGTTGGGCAGAGAGAATACTTCCTTCAAAAATGAAGTGGTCCACTAAGTCACAGTTAATGGGGAATGCTAAAGCGTCATGTTTAATGACTTCTTCGTAACAGAATAGGAGTGTGTTGATGCGGGCCATACAGCCAACGAAGCAGTCAATTTATTGAAGCAAATTTTTAGTGAGCTTCCCTTGGTATGACCTACACGATCCTGCGATTTAACACTGCTGGACTACTGTTTTTGTGGTTTTGTGAAGTCGCTTGTCTACGCAAATCACAAGTCAAAAAAGCACCCTTTTCTTTGCCGATTCGCAACTAATATAACTGTAAATCATTGTATAAACTATTGAAATTCTGCTACCCGGATTAGGCGGAGAAATAATAAGCAGCAATATTAATAAATTTCTTCAAAATTATCGCTGCATAGAAATTTATTTCATCACTATTTTGCACTTTGGTACTATGTATGTAAAGGTGTGTCTGCAAAGAAGACTTTCCAGTAAGCTAAGCCTATAAAACGATTTTTGTATACCCTCTACGGTAAATTTTGGCGATAACCTCACAGCGAGGAGCGTCAGAAAATGTGCTTGCAAGCACTGAGCCGGTAGATGTTGCATACATACCGGGCGTCGGGTCACAAGAGCACTCCGGTTAACAAACTAGTTGATTGTATTGTCAAAACTAAAATTCGTCTGGCTATCGCAATCGCGCAGGGAATACGCAAGTGCACAACGAAAGAGTTGATGCTCGATCACAAACCTACTGGCATGACACATGCAGGAAATGCATGGAGGCAGAAGATCCGGCCTTATCAAGAGCTCGTCGTAGTAATATAAAAGCTCCATAGTCGATTGTATTAGATGAGCCATCCAAATTAGATATCAGTTTAATCCTCTACGAATAGTAACTAATGGTTAAATACGTTATATTCGGTCGAAAACTTTTTTTTTAATTTTCGAAACAGAATATCGACCACGATAGCCGCGTGGTTAGCATTGCGTACTGCCATTCGGAAGGCTGAAGTTAAAATCCCCGGGCGACCAACATCCCAAAGTTACAGAAATTTAAATCAACTAAATTTTCTAATTGCGGTCGCCCCTCGGCAGGGAATGTTAACCCCTTCGAGTGTATTTCTGACATGAAATAAAGAGAGGAAGAGCTCGGAGGAGGGCGGAAAATGGCTTCAGCGGTTACAAAGCGCTAATTATATATATAGTATTTCTTAACATTTTTTCCCCCATCCTAAAAAATATCGAACCAAGACTTTAACTCCAATTTTGCCATGCAAATGGATGGGCACCAACCTGCTTCGAGGGACTGAACTTCGCTTAGACGAAGGACTTTATGATTGAAAGGGGTAGCCGCATAATAGAATGAGTCATTGGCTTTCCAACTGAGCTGAGCCGAAAAAGCCGCATCAAAGTCGCTCAGATTTATTCCGAAATTGTGGACTCCAAATTTTTGAAAAAAGGTCACATGGTATGCGAGATAGAGATAACTTTGAAGAAGCTATAATTAACCACCCACTCAGTCAGCCATTTTTGATCCTTGAGCGTAGATAATGCACGTTTCGCTGTCGAGCTGCATGGTGCTGCATAATCAACTCTCGTGTAATAAGACCTGGAACTTTCTTTCCAAAATGAAACTTCTTACAGAAATTTCAACTACCTTCGCCTATCTCACAGCTATTTTCCACCGCAACATCGTTTGGTAGAAGGTTGACTAACCTTTCTAGTGCAGTCCTCAGAGCAACTCTTCGTACTTCTTTTAAGTAAGCTCAGAGTATTCGTTTCACTGGTTTCTTCTATGATATTTTGCTGTCAGTGGTCAACCACACCAAATCATTGTGAATCAAAGTTGGCTTCCCTATCGCTATGCAACACCACCACCTAGGGAAAATCGAGCCAAAGTGATGCAGTTCACGCGTATTGACTTTTTAGTACATTTGTATCCTGCTAATGTACTAAAACGTTCCGCACCCCTTTGAATCCTACTTTGACTGGAATTTCTAATAATAAAATTGTCCTCGCAACATAAGACTTCTCGCTTGACTACCATCAACAGCTTCGAGCGAAATACCCCAGTTTCTAGATATACATAAGTATACCTGATACCCATCACTTCACATTCGTGCAAGCCTTCAATTATCCTCATTGTACTTAGAACGCATGCGCCATATAGAAGCAATGATAGCAATTGAGATTTTCCGGTAGGTTCTTCTTGGCCAAAGGCGGCTTTGTCGCCATTTACCGTACGTGCAACGGGTGTGTGTCGTCGTCGTCGTCGTCGTCTTCATCGTCATACGGCGGCATGTCAGTTATTTGCTATGCTAATTTGCCACACTATCAGGTTTCCACTACACCCGGTTTGCTTGCCTCTCTTTCTAGCTCCCTGTCTCTCCCGCTGTCTGCGTCGATTTAACTACGTTGTATCTATGCGCATATCACATATGCATTTTTCTGCATGTCCACATGCTATATCCAAGCATTTCTAGTGCACATTTCTTTATCATTGCGGGGAGATCACTTAATTGAGACTTTGAAATCACTTTGAAAAATTATTATAATTAAAGTGTGCAATCAGCGAATGAAGCATATTTGGTAGGTGGATTTTGGCCGAAAGGCTTTTCGTAAATAAAGATATATTTCAAAGTGTCAGGCAAGTGGCTGGGGCTGCGGTTAGTGACACTTTTTCCAGCATAGAAATATGTAGTATATACTTAGTTAGTTATTTTTTAATTAAAAATAAAATTTTATTTTCTAAACTCAATTTTAATATGTCATAAATCAGCAGATATTTGTGATAAAAGAGTTTCAAACATAAATATATGTTACATGGCGCAAAAGATATTACCTCTCAGTTACAACACACTTTGCCGGAGGATTGTGTGTATGTATGAATTTATTTATGTATTGCACTCAAAGCGTTTGACCAGGCGTTAATTTTGGAATATGATTTTGAGAAGCAGATATCATTTATGACTTTATTTAGTTGAAGAAACCGTAAAACTCCGCCGCAATGGTGTTGATAATCATCAATAAAATAGGTGGTGCAGGTAAACCTATATGTATGAATATTGTACATAAACGTATATACGAATTTATGAAAAAAATATCTATCTGTCAACGGCATAAAAAGAAGAAAAAAAAAATAAATTAATGAATATAGAATTAAAACTCAAAACAAAAAAAATTAAATAAAACAATAAAACTTAGGTTAAAATAAAATAAAGAATAAATAAAATAAAATAAAATAAAATAAAATAAAATAAAATAAAATAAAATCAAATTAAAAAGTTAACTAATAAAACGAAAATAATAAAATATGAAATAAAAAATTATAAAATTTTATGTAAATTAAAATAAAACAACATTAAATAAGACAATATAAAGTTAAACAAAATATTTTACTCGTAAAATAAATTATAAAAAAATAAAATGGAATGAAACATAATAAAATAAAGTAAATAATCAAAAATTAATTAAATAAAAGAAAAAGAAAATAAAGCAGAAAATAATATTAAGAAATATAAAAAAATAAAACGAAAGAAAATAAGAAAGGAAAAAATAAAAATTAATATAAAATATGAATAAAATAAAGTAAAATCAAATAAAAAAAAAATGAAATAAGATTAATAAATTGAAATTAAATAAAATAAAAGAAAAAAATTAAGTATAATAAAAAAAATTTAAGGAATATGAAAATAAAATAAAATTGATTTAAGGTAATTCCGTTAAGCTAAAAAAGTTAACAATTATGGTGAAAATTCCATAAAGACGCATTCTTGAAAGATATTAATAACTAAACTAGATTGAGCCCGTTGCATTCCCACTTGCAACAGATCTAAACGGTGATCTACCCTTTAAACCTTTAAACCAAACAATGTATCTTTAACGATCTCGTTAATACTCTGCCTGCAATCCAATGCATTCCAAATCCCCATTCCCTTATTAATAATTCATAAGCACATTTGACCGATTCCGTATGTAGGTTAGTTGAGCGAAATCATTTTCCTTTTTGCCTCTTTCATTTTTCATATATTTATTGTATATATTATATTTACCCTCGTAGTAAACCTGCTTATTAATATTTGACCTGAGCACGACTCCTGAGAAATATGGTCAGCAGTGCATAACGCTGCTGCTGCCGCCAAGAGAGTGTGTCACAAGAATCTATGTATAATGCATTATTGGCAAATCATGGTTGCTTGCCACTAAAAATACCTGCACACACACACACAGACACACAGACATACAGCAACAAACTGAATAAATATATGCACAGATGATAATCGGAATTGGAAAATATCCATAACGACACAGTCACTGCTGAAATGTGTCTGCTTTGCATAACGAGTCGAGTTGACTAACTAAATAATGCGAGCATTATTACTTTACAGCGGGAATTTTGTTGGAGAACCACAAAAACAAAAGCAATTGCAATGTGCATGTGCATAGTTTGTGACTAAACTTTGTGCGAAATTGTGACGACAACAAAACCGACATGCACAATGAATGACAAAGTTGCATGAGTTGACTGGGCTGGTTCACCGGCCGTACTGCTCGTTGCTGCCCGCCCAGCATATCGGCACGTTCGTCGACAGTATGTCACCAAATACACGACGACAGCTCATGCAGCCGCTACGGAACCAGCGCGAAAGGAAGCGCACCACTCACTCACTCACTCACCGAGCCATCCAGTCGGCGCTGATGATGATGCCGACGATGATGATGGCGGTTGGATGATATGAAATTTGGTGTGGAAATCGTTGAAAGAAACAATGTGGCATGAAGGAAGACATGTTGGACAGAAACTTTTTGGCCATCTATTCTAAATGGGGTGCGACATGATTGGATGATTCGTGGAAAACAGAGCGCTAAGCAAATACCAGACGAATATCTAAAATATGTAGACCCCATGTGTGCGGGTGTCTGTGTGGAACATTCAAGGCAAATTGATTTGTCTTGAAACAGAGAGTGTTGCCACTAGGATTGCATTGTGAATGTGATGTGTTACATGGAAGAGGTTACAGAAGTCAGTCTTTATCTTGACAAACGTACTTCCTTTCTCATTCCAGTAACCTAGGGGTTAGTTCCTGACTACAGAGATATTTAAGTTTAAGGTCTAATACGTGGCTATTTTTTCGGTGAAAAGTTGTCGTTTCCAGCTACACTTAGAGATATTAGCTGATTTGTATAAATGGTGCTCTGGACCTGGGTATATAGGAACAACCTTTTAGCGAATCATTACGTCCACCAACGAACTCCTGTCAGGTTTCTGCTAGATATGTACATGTTGGGAATGGAGCGAGTAAGTGGAGCCTCTCAAGGAATCAAATTAAGCGTTTCTTATTTTGGATTGGATTGGTTTAGGTAACAAATTGTTTCACACAACAACGGTGGCATTGATATCGTTTTTTAAATTTTAATCAGATAATGCTTGAAGCTCTTCCCATTAAAATTGATTTACTTTCGGATCATGCTCATTTGAATAGAGTTTCATTTTACTTTACATATCATTTGCGTCAGCCCGAAGTAGCGTCTGTTGGCAAGAGTGGTTCTGCGTTGAATTTCCAGGCAGACATTGTTGTTGATGTTAATAGTGGTTCCAATAAATTATCTACGATTTCATTGTTATAACTGTCAACGATATTCTTACGAGGTCATGAACCAGCTGGGAAGGTGTTGACCTTCTCTATTATGACGCCGAACATTCCAGCTGAATGCCCTCAAATCATGATTCATTAAACGTTTGCGGGTATTGTCATCAGAAACGGGGTCTCTCATCCGAGGCATGAATAAATTTTTCAGTGGGACTGGTTTCCATGTGGCGGGTAGCAAAACCAGCGCAACCTCGCTGGGAGAGTATGCTTGAAGTTTGTCGGCGTTTTTAGAGCGAGTCGCTTGCTTCAAGACCGACGCCCGCTCGCAGCCGCACCTCTGGTGAACAGACGCTGCAATGACTTCGACGGACCCTCAAACCGAGTAAGTCGAAGAGGCTCCACTGAAGCTTCCTCTCTCATTATTTGGGACCCAAGGATCCACACGGGTTGGTTGCCGTATCTTGCACAAGGGTTGCTGAAAACAAGGGCTTTCGGGTTATTTTTTTCAGTCCTTTGTCAGTTAGGATCCCATCCTTCGACGATCTTCAACTCAGAGTTGTCGAAAGCTTATTGCAACAGTTAATCGTCGTTTCTTCTCTTCATTAACCACCAAGTGAAGCCAGGTACTTGTTCATCTTTACTACTTTGTCGAATCGATTGTGGTTTTTGGTTCGCCATCTCCAGGCATTTCATTTCCATCATCATTCAGTAAGTTTAAAGAAGTTCTCTTTCCATGAACTAAGTATGCTCTGAGCATCAGTCAGTAGCACCACTATTCTTTGTCTGCAAATGTGTCATACAGAAGAAGTGTCCACAGGTTTTCGATTTGGATGGTTGGAAGCAACCCATTTCAGCTGTAATCCTCACTAAGGGCGAAAAAAGGGCTAAAATATTATGAAGTTTTGAGCAAAGCACAAGATAATGTAGACGAGGTATCTCTGGCTTGTCTAATACTGCAGATAATGCTGCAACTAGGGAATCGTAATAAACGCATTCTTTTTGAGGAGCAGCTTTAACTTCCGGTTAATCTGCCTGGAGCGGATGCCAGTTTATTTTCAATCCCGCGGTCTTTCTGGCCTTAAGAAGCAAGCGAAAAGAGTGCCTCCACTTCCTTAAACCATCTGGCAACTTTCACGCTCAATTTCATTCTGCTGTCAGCGCGCGAAAGGAGCAACACAAATTGCGCCCCATACTTGTGATACAACTAATGAATAACAGATGCAACAATCGGAGGAGGCTTCTTGCAACAAACGAGTACAACATTCAGTCATTGTGCGCACAATATGTTCCGTCATCCGTTCGCCCGTGCGCCTGCTCGAGAGTGTCGTGCGGTTTTATAACTTCATTAGTGTGGTACTGATGCTGGTAGTGGTGGTGGTGGTGGCTGCGGCTCAGGCTGCCGATGGATGAAGATGAAATGACGAGCGAATAGCGGTAGAGGTTTACCACTTAGCCAAGCCAAGCGCTTTTGACTTACTTCGCGGAAATTTGCATACTCACTGCCAGCAAGCGGAATCAGCAGATGTGTATAGACATTTATATATTTGTACATACATACATACTATACAATAAACTAGATTGCATTTGTTGTTGTTGTTAACTATATTATTTAGTTGCATGCATCGCTTTTTGGTGGCACAAAATTTGTGGTGCGCCAAATGTGTGCTATTTGCTGGAATATACATGTATATATGCAAGTATGTATGTTTGTATTGTGGCAACTTTGTATGCTCGTGGCAAGATGTGACGTCAAATCAGCGAGGCGGTATGACACGATTGCAGCGCATGAAATGCAAAAAGAAGTAAGAAAAAAAATTCTAGAAAATTGCCTAAAAGAAACTCATTTGCATATGAACTGTGTCGCTTGCCACATACGTGTATATGTGTGCCATATGTGTATGTGTTTTTGTTTGGCAGCAACTAAAACTAAATCCGTCTAAATAAAGGAAAAAATTAAATGTTGACAACATTGTTTGCGATTTGCTGTCTCTTGTCGACGTCCCACATCGCACATACACACACACACACAGCACTCACCGCGTTGCATGCAACCGACATGCAACATGCATATGCAGCGTTGTCTTGTCGAGCAGCCACAATCACCTTGCGTGGTGGCATGACACAGCGCCTTTAAGCCGCTACATTCGCTCAGCAACGCCAACATTGCTACTTGCAACAAACTGCTGCACTGATGCATCATGCTGCTATTGTTGCTTTTGCTGTTGCAGCAGCGGCGTTAATGATGAATTAGTCGGTTGCCATGTCATGACAAACGCTTTGCATGCAATTTCCATGGAATTTTCATTCGCTCCACTCGACGAGTACTCGAGCACGAGACGAGAGTGTAGCTGGGACGGCTGGTGCTGCTGCTGTTGTTGCAATGACAAATCGTTATTTTGTTGCTGCCTTAAATTGAGTTGAAATCGTGAAAGTCAGGCAAATCAACGGAAACACACACACATACACACACACATGAATATCTCTACAAAACGCTAGTATGACGACTCTGCGTGTCTTCTGCGGTAGCTCAGGCTCAGTTGTGAATGCGAATAATTGGCGACAACGGCTGCACATGCGCACCACAGAACGGTGCTACAGCGCCGCTTGTGCGCTCATTTGCCACTTTGACTGAACTGAGCTGAGGTGAGTTACGTTGAGTGCTGGTTGGCCGTATGTATGTGTGTGTGCAACAGGAAGGATCACAACTGCGAGGCGTGCACGTTGTTGGCTCACATCAGCGATGTTCGTGGCTAATTGCTTTATTTCTGCTTTACGTGCTTAATGAAAATTTCCGAGTGAATCCTGGTTGCAATTAGGGCGATAGGCGAGGATACCAAGCGCAAGCTCAAGTCACCAGCAAAGCGCAAAGACATTGCGATGTGGCCGCGTATAATTTTAATTTAATGAAATATAAAATGCATATAGAAATGAATGAAATGAGAAAGGAAGGAAGGAATGGTTGGTAGAGATCAGCGCACGTAGGCCGGGTGTGGGTGCTTCCTTTCATATTTTCTTGATTTTTAATTGAATTCATTCATTGCCATTTTATTTGATTATTTGCAGCTTCTCTTTTGCCAGTTATTATGGAATTTTCTAGAGTTAAACTTGGTGGCAGAAGATACTAATTGGAACACCAATCAAATTACAGCAAAAATGAGAGAAAGAAAATATGCAGACCGATGGTCAGTATTTTGTAGAGCCATCAGCGCCCCACAAATACTATATCACAATAGAGAGCCAACGATTATCGATACTTCTTCACTACCGTAGCGCCCAGCTTTAACTTCCGAATAAACAGGTACTCCAAGTTCAGAAATAGCTCTCCAAAGAAAACATCTCTTCCAATGAATGTGTTCCCAGTTACACTGAATTGGGAATATCACGTCGATAGTGGTCTGGCCAGTCTTATATTCAAACCACTTGGGAAAAAGCTTTACTGGATACATAAAACGAGGAAACTGACACAATTTTTGACCGAGCTCCTCCTCCAATTTGTGGTGTTCCATCTTGCTGTTTTTCCAACAAATGGAGCGCCATAAAGTTTATACTAAGCCGCCTCCGAACGGCTGATGATTTTTTATGAGCAGAGAGGCGACTACAATACGAAAATTTAACTTAATATTTGACTTTGAGTTAATTTTCTATAACTTTTCGATGGACCTTCCAAATGGCAGTACGCAATACGGCCACCACTGAATTAAGAGACAGTAGTGAAATTCGCAAGCTCAAGAATAACTTAAAGAAAAAACTTCAGATTTGGAAGTATTCTGTGTAAAAGAACTAGGCTACTTGAGGAGTTTTGTTGCAGATTGCTGAAAAATTGGAGTCAGCCGAACAAGATAGCCTGCTCGTGGCCTGAAACCCTAGTGTTATTCGCTGCGTTTTCCACTGTTAGAGTTTCTCTTGTCTTCTAGCATTTTCCCTGAACTTCGAACTTTGTGTTGACATATTTGGTTGCCTTTCCCCTACTGCAGCGATTGCTTTACTGGCATCTTTTCCTATCTTAGCTTGCAGAAATATACTCACAGAATTTGATGCGACATTAGTCTCAAACCATACCCTGGGGTTTCATTATTGACCTACTAAATACCTTATTTGTCTTGCTTACCTTAATTATTGGCTGTTGCAGCATTCATAAAGCAGCTTGGATGTCCATAAATCAGAGACGGACATAAAATAGTATCTGCATTATTTATAATTTCTTTTTATATTTTTGTAGAAAATTTGATATTTGACCATTGTTATCTATGACCTGTTGTTATCTATGACCTCTTTCTATATTTTGGGTAGTTTTTTATTTCCATAAATGATGGACGCAGAATCAAGAGTTTTTGAATTACCGAAAAAATGGTGGTAAGGTGGTGAAAGGTCTGGGCTAAAAATAGAAGCGTCGAAACTTCCCTGGTCATCAGGGATGTGCATGGTCAAGCGTTGTTGTGGTGAGACAAAACAACTTTTCTGGACAATTTTTTAAAGAGGTTGCCGTAAGCTGCTTGATTATTGAGCTTATCGTTTTGCCGGATTACAGTGGCTCATAATAGGCAACTACCTTCCAATCCTATCATAAACTCAGCTACACCTAGTTCGCCACCAATTCAAGCTTTGAAGTCGTTTGTGGAATTTCAGGTCTTTTTTTTAATTTCATTTGCGCAAGCTTTACTTATTTTTCATCGACCATAATGGTTAAATATAGAAATCGTTCGATTTTGTCAAGTTTCAGAAGCGTTTCACTGATTTCAAAGCAGTCAATACAAATTCGTTTTAGGCGTTAATTTCTGTGGCGCCCAAGCATCGATCGATTAAAGGATAGATAGAAGATTCCAATCGGACGAGTGAGTGAAGCGTAATGCTTACCTTCAGACAGCTTGCGTATCCGGTCCTGCTTCACCAGTTGCAGAATCCCATGGAATTTTTGTTTGTCGGTATAAAGTGCCAGCATTCAAGCACTTCTTAGATTGGTACAATCGGATCAGTGTTTCCTAAAGTAATTTTAACAAGACTAGTGACAAAACCCGCGACCAGTCCAGTCCTTCACCAAGGAATTAAACAGTTCAGTAGTTGAATCTATCTAATTTGCGCTCTTCGCCTTCAGAGTTTTCGCTTTTAATTCAAAAATTGTACCATAGTTGTCATCAAAGCTTGATGAATAATCAAATGGCGTAGGATCGACTTCCCCGCCTAGCTCACCTGCACATGGATATGCCTTAGTTACCCTTAGGGTATTTCCAACAGGCCTGAGCCACTGCATATGGATTGCTCTTCTCCTCTGAAACTGTCCATCCAACATATCTGTAAATATTATATTATATATTTTTTTTATTCTTAAGATTATTTTATTTTTTTCTTTTAAATTCGTCTTTTATATAATAGCCCTCAGGCGAAATGATGTTATATTTATTTTTAATCATCTTCTTGCCCTGCCATTTGCCTCCGCTACGCTTGCGTCATACTATTAAATAACAAATCAATCACAATGATTTTGATTAATTGCGCGTGTGGTTGTAGGGTGCGCATGGGTATGCAGCCAGTGGTTGGTATTTATGTACAGGAGTGTGTATGTGCATAAGTGTGAGTATGTAGTGGAATTTGAATTCAGGCAACATACGCTTGCGGCATGCTGCGTAAGGCGAATTTGCTACGCTTAGCTTGCTATGCTTTGCTATTGTTTTAATCAGCAGAGAAATTACAAAAAAAAAAACATTAAAATTAAATAAATTCATACACATTTCACACATGAACAGATGATGGAGTGCTTATTTATACACTTCTGCTCGCATGAAGTTGTTATGCAATAAGTGAAATAATTTGATGTGTACGACTCAATTGTCAGTTGGATATGGTTCATTTAAGGTTAGCTATGCCATATGTTTGGGAAATTTTTTGGTAAAAAAAAAATTTTTTTCTTCTTAAATTTTATTTATTTTCTCTGGATTTAGCTAACAAATTGACCATGAAGAATTGGTGAAGTGAATTTTTAGTTCACACCAATTTGATTTTATTTATTACTACTTTTTTCATTTTCTTTCTACTTTTAAACTTTTTCTTTTCTGAATTTTTTTTTTTCATTTTTATTCAAGAATTTTATCAAAGTTTAATTATCTGCACCAAATTTTATGTTAATCAAGGGATTTAGAATACAATTCTATTTTTTTTCGAAGGGAGCGATACCTTTTTTTCAGAAGAAGAGCCCAAAAGCTACTAGTGTACTAGACTTTATATAAAACAGATGACAATTATTAATGAATTTATGGAATACATCGATTCAGGTCCACTTCCCCATATCAATACAGACAAAACGTTACCCATATACAAAATTTCATGTAAATAAAATGATTACAAAACAGATTTCTTTATCAACTACCCGAAAAATCCTTTCTTATCAGGTTTCAAGGCTCTACTGCTCTCCAAGTTGGAGGTCCCTATGACCGATGGTTTAGGTTGTGGCTGATTCTTTAGTTATTTACGTAAAAATCATATAAGTTTTAAGATTTTCGAAAGTACCGTTAATTGCAGAATAGAAAATTTCAATGAATTAATTTGAAAAAAAAGTTTTTTCCTAACGTTTTTTTACATTATACTTTTAAAATTATTTTTTCTAAAACAAATTTTTGTAATTATTTTTGTAAATTATGATTTTTTAACTATTATTTTTAATTATTATTTTTAATTGCATTTTTTTTTTTTTATAAATTATTATTATTATTATTATTATTATTATTATTTTTAATTATTTTTTCTAATTACTCTTTAAAATTATATTTTTAAACTAATTTTTGTAATTATTATTTTTTAACTATTATTTTTAATAACATTTATAATTATTATTTTTTTAACTAATTTTAGTAATTATTTTTGTAAATTATGATTTTTTAACTATTATTTTTTATTATTTTTTTTCAATTACTTTTTTAAATAATTTTTTCAAACTAATTTTTGTAAATTATAACATTTAAACTTGTATTTTTAATTACATTTATAATTATTATTTTTTTAACTAATTTTTGTAAATTATTATTTTTTAACTATTATTTTTAATTATTTTTTCAAATTAATTTTGTAAATTATTTGTTCAAATTAATTTTTTTTATTATTTTTTAAATTATTATATTTTAGCTATTATTTGTAATTATTATTTTTAATTACATTTATAATTATTATTATTTTTAACTATTATTTATAATTATTATTTTTAATTACATTTATAATTATTATTTTCTTTAACTAATTTTTGTAATTACTTTTGTAAATTATTTGTTCAAACTAATTTTTTTAATTATTTTTTCCAATTAGTTTTTTAAATTATTTTTTCAAAATAATTTTTGTAATTATTTTTGTAAATTATTATTTTTTAACTATTATTTTTAATTATTTTTTTAATTACTTTTTTAAATTATTTTTAAATTATTTCAATTTTTTTTTTTAAATTTTTGTTTTAATTTTTTTTTTTTTGTTTTCAATTTAATTTCAAATCGTGTTACAATGTTGCCCACATTCATTAGTCACTATCAAAATGTTTACTACACCGTAATATTGCGCTATAAATTTTTCTCAAATAACATATGTATGTATGTGTACATAAATAAATTAATATTGAAAATATTTTCTTTTTCTGAGTTAAAGAAAAAATCGATAAATTTTGCTGCCCACTGTTGACAGCTTAGTGCAAGAATTTCGAAAAAAAGAAAATATTTTTTAAATCAACCCGTTTATGTTGCATGCAATTTTGGTATATAAATTAGTTAAATCTGTGGAAAATATATATTTTTCCGTTTTTTTTTTTCATTTTCCAAATAAATAAATTAATGCAGCACAACAGATCATTAGCGTTGAGTACGAAATTGCATGTTTTTCGCTGAAAACTCGACGATTGGCCTGAGCGCTGGTCAAACATGAACACGAAATTTGCGGCAATATAGCATGTAAAAATTCACACTTTGTGCAACGTTTGTGTATATATATAAATTATACGCTTTGCTGCTGAGATAGATGAATGTATAATTTTTTTTTTTGCATTTAATTTTTTCGCCGTTAGTTTTTGTGCGGGGAGCAAAGATGCAGGGCGCGAGCTGGGTGAGATAAACTGCCCGAAATGCCGAAAATCTCATATGCAGGCTCGTAGCTGGCAACTTGCTACAGCAGGTTGCACTCACAAATCAGGTCATAATAACAATTTAAGCCTGTTTGATGTCTCGTAAAGCAATTTTTCACATCAATTACAAATTAACAGATTTATTTGGCGTCAACCAACCAGCCGACATACCAACGGTCGCCGTTTGTCGGTCATTCATACGCACCGACCACAGCACAACACTCAAAGTTGGCGGGCGAATCGTTTAAACCCACCAACCAATTGACCGGCCGACCAACTAAATTAAATTGGCTTTCCGCAGTCGAGAGCACTTACTTGTGCTGGCCACACACAAACACACGCACGCACACGCGCACGCATACAAATGCAACACGGCCATCAGTGCTGTCGCTACCTCAGAGCATGGGCTGACAAGCAGGTCTGTCGATCGCTCAGTGATATTTATGTCGCTTGTAATTTGTTGTTATGTAATTAATTAACTTTTTTCCACTTCAATCAAATTAACGTTTAAATGTGCGCCGACAGTGGCGGAAGCTATGGTTGCGACTGCGCCTGCGTGATTTCGCTCATACACAAGCCTATAATTGTAACTTTTGGGTTATTAGTGCGCATGCGCAGCGCACAATCAACTACGACTTGTAATATTTACCACATACATACAGACATACTTTTTTTTACGTAATTCACTTTCATGATTGATTGATTGATGATTGATTTGATTGGTGATTAAATATTTTGCTCACCGCAGTTCGCTTTCTGTGACTCTGTGGCTTTGTGCGTCTGCACCTCTGGGTCGCTGGTGGCTTATAAATTGCTGAATTTCGCTCAGCTAAGTGACAAGTAATTAATTTTTATGTCTATTTAAGTGAATTTATTTTGACGCGTATATGAATTTTGATGATTTTCGAAATTTATTCGTGTGCGAATGGGAATATGTGTAAGTATGTAAATTGCTAATGAATTAAAGTTGTAAATGAAATATAATTAACTAATAATTGCAGCGCCTGTTCACTCGAGGTGCGACTACACGCGTTCCTCGGTCTTTAAGCAAGCGGCTTGCTATATAATCGTGTCAAAAATGTAAGATTACTCGCTTAGCGAGGGGATACGCTCGATTTGGGACCCACCAGGTGGTTTGCAGACGCTTCATTGCTACAAACCGCCTTTGATGAGTCTTCGAGGTGACTTTGAAATAATAACATATAAAAGAATTTTTAAAATCATAATTCACAGTAGCGCGTCATTCGTTCCGTCTCTTCGTCAGGGCGTTCTCTGATGCTTCATAACGTCTTTGTCTTTCCCTGCTACCACCAGCACTTTCTGCTTCGAATATTTAAAATTTGTGCTCTCTTCCATCCGTACAACATGCCCTTGGGCGAGTTACCGCTATCTCTTTACTCACTGAACCATATCAATGGCACCGTATAACACGTACAGTCTATCATTCCACTGTCTGAGGTATTCGCCGTTGCCGACATGCAAAGAACCAGAAATGCTTCGCCAAACCTTTCCCTCGAAGACACCTAATGCCTGATCGGATCTCATTATCGTCCGCACTTCCGTACCCCAAAGCCGACCGGATTGATAAGCGAAGTGTAGAGCTCCCAGTTCAAAGTGGCACCTGATGACAAGTATGATTCCGCGTTGGATTGGCATTGTTGTTGGTGTTAATAATATTATAGTTCCAAGATAGATGAAGTTATCTACGACTTATGACTGTCGACAGTGACGTGAAAGCTGACAGCAGATGTTTAGTCTTGTCCTCGTTCACCACCAGATCCATATACTTCGCTTCTTTATCAAGTCTGGAGAAAGCAGAAATCACGGCGCGGTTTGAAGGTCAATATCATCGGCGTACCTTCTCTATTCAGCTCTGCAGCTCGTATTATTTCTCCAGCATAAAAGTAAAGAAATTGCACGATAAAGAGTCACCCTTTCTGCTGTCCCGTTTGGTATTTCAACCGAACGGCTCGGATAGGTCCTTTGCAATTCTGATTTCGCTTCTGGTGTTGTCCAGCGGCAGCTTACACTTTTCCCAGATTTGTCTGGTCAATAATGCATTTACCCGATATGAAGCCACACCGATGAGGCAGATTTTTACATTAGTTCCTATATGAGTATGTTCCGGTCTCTTGACACTCACACGTACCGGCCTCTACCTCTCTCTGCACATGTGTCTTGCTTCTCCTTTTAGCTCACAAGATGGTAAGGTAGGCAGCCCGTTTTCGCTCTCTTTTCTGGCACTGCGGAAACCCAATAGCTGCGGTACGTGGAGAGATACAGACGCCGTTTCACAGTTCCCTTATATCGATCTACTCTCAAAGAGGGAGTGTGCAGGTCGAGAAGAGTATACTTTTCATGTGATGAGTCCAAAGCCATAAGCAACATATGCAGGAGGTTTCGCCTTCTCACTTTAGCTCGCCTCGAAACGGGAATTTGGTGGTATCCCAGAGGACTAAGTTCGGCGGACGTGAACTGCTACATGTGGCGTCATCATCCATAATAAATCTAATTTAATATGATGAATATATTATGCTAAAAAACTCGTTCATAGGCATACTAAGAGCAGTATAAAATATTTTTTGAAAAAAAAATTGATTATGAAACTAAAAAAATTAAAAATAAAATAAAAAAAATGAAAAAAAAATAATATTTTTACTAAAAAATTAATTCAAGCAATAAATAATTGCCAAACAATCCATAGATAACACCAATCCACTGAGTTAAACGTCCAGAGACCACCGCTGTTGGTCTATGCCGCCAACATGCCAGACCACACACACACGCACACACACACACACGTCAGTCAATTCAAGATGTGAGCTTACAAAATATGATTTTCGAAATTCACGCGCACTTCACTGAAGTTTACCAGCCACACACACGCACATATAAATAAGCAAGCACATGTGAACAATCATATCCACTCTAGACCACTCGTAAAGTCCTTCAGCTTTGCTACTCTAACTTGCGACTGGTAAAAAAAAACAGAAACAAAAACAAAAAACAAATGCAAACAAAATGTATTAAGATAAATCTTTATAGATACAAAAATAACAGTGATGCCAAATAAAAAGTTGCACGAAAAATCGTGAATATAACCGCAATCCACTTGTAGCCGATTCCAAAAGAGGAGAGCAACAAAAGCAGGCATGAAATATAAGCTAAAAATAAAAAACAAACGAAGAAAATAGATGAAAAAAAAAATAAAATAAAAATAGAAATTATAAAAAGTAGGCTTAAATATCAACCAGAAGCTAGTCAGGTTTTGGTGATAGCCAGCAGCAGCGCCAGTGACGGCGGCGGCAGTGGCGACTGAAGCACTTAAACGGGAAAAAAAACTATTTTTGATGTCTGACTTTGTGGCAAAAAGCGCATGCATACACTGACATGTGTTTGTCTGTACATACATACACGTATATATGTATGTATATACTATGTTGTCATAACGCTCTTACACCTGCCCAAATGGACCGACCCATGTGTGTGGCAATATTTTTAGGCGAGCTTATAACTCAACCTACTAAATACGTATGCATGAGTGTGTTTGTGTGCGTGTGTGTGTGTGCTGAATGTTGACGCGGAGTGAGTGCTTGACAGTCTGTCCGTCCACTCAATTTAAGCTTGTCAGTCTATCCGTCTGTATGTCTGTCAATCTCAGTTCGGACCGACTCGCATTCCCGAATCCAGCCAGCATTGCTACCTATAGTTGCATGTCTGTTGCAAGGTGTGTACTCTCTTTCGTTGTTCATTTTGTTATTATTGTTGCCCGCTATTTATGAAATTATGAGAAAAACTGCGCGCAGGCAATACTCCATCCATCCATCTACTCTATGCAATGCGCGCAGCGGCTCAATTGGCTAAGCGCTGGTGTTGGCAACAACAACAGCTCGAACTGCCATAACAATCATTGTTGCATTGTCGCTGTTGGCGTGCTTCGGTTGCATAAGTGTTGCTGGGAAGCTTTCGTTGTTGAGTTTTCGTTGTTTTTGTTTTGTTGTTTTGCTCCTGTTGTTGTGTTACAACTTTAGCCGCTTAATAAAGTCATTATAAATTAAACTGCGCATCACGGTTGTATGGCAATGTGTATGCATGTTGCTACATGTTTCATGCAACTGTGGGAGGTTTCGCTTGGAAAAAAAGGGCGGGAAATTTTGCCTTGCAGTTGCATGCGGCAATTTTCGCTTGATATTCCGACTCTCACTTTTGCTTGGTTCACTTCGAAGGCAAGTAAACAAATGTTGCGAGTGCGAACAGTTGGAAAATAATACGCGAAATTTGGCGGAAAAGATTTGAAAACTAGTGATAACCCGTTTTTTGTATCGCCAGCGGGAGATAGAGTGGCTCCAGACAATGCCTCTTTTATAAAAGGGCTTTATTTCCGTCGAAGAGTTCAAGATTACCTTCACCTTTCCGCCAGTGAAGACTTGTGGTCAATATTTTCTTTTCCATCTAGTCCAATGGAACTATGATAGGGCTCTCCAAAATGTTGGGAGCTATTGAACAAATAATCTGGGTGTTAGAACGACCCAATATAATTTTGGGTCGTTAGCACTATAGGGATGCGAGTAATTGTTCCTGTTACCCAGATATTTAGGAATCCTCTTTCCAGTGGCTGGTGCATCTGGCGGTTTTTTTATTTTTTAATAAAATGTCCGCCAGAAAGCTACTTTTTTACTTCGGATTTGTAATTTTAATCAGCAAACCACCAAAAAGAGTGTAGAAGTTTAGTGGTTCAGACAGGTTGCAATTAGAACCATCTACACTGTGCGCAAAATATTACATTTTACCTCGTAAGTGCTGAATATCGCAACCTATAGTCCCTTTTCGAGAGCAACTGAATGTCTCCGACTCCAAAGTATTCAATTAACCAGATCTCATATGTACACTAGGTTAGATGTTAGGGATACTTTCAAAGCCCTCCAGGTCAAATCGTATACAAACACTCCTCGCTTTTATATTCGTATGCACACTTGAAGGCTTCTCTGGACGGTTAAGTGGAAGAGGTACATTCCATTTGAATCTATACTGCCGGATCGAAAATGGACTACGTTGTGAGAGGGGCCCATACTCCAAAGATCTTGACATCTCTCTCTTTATTTCTATATTCCTCTCTCTCTATCCCTGTGTTTCTCTCTCTCCATCCATCTCTCTCTCTCTCTTACTCTGTCTGTATCTATCCCTGTCACTTCCTCTCTCTCTCTATATTTGCCCCTCATTTTATCGCCCTTTTTTATCTCTTTCGCGTACTCTCTCTCTTACTCTCTCTCTATCTCTCTTACTCTCTCTCTCTTATATTCTCTCTCTTTCCCTTACTATTTCTCTCTATCTCTCTCTCTTACTCTTCCTCTCTCCCTTATTCTCTCTCCTTCTCTCTCATAGTCTCTCTCTCTCCCTTACTATCTCTCTCTCTCTCTTATTCTCTCATCTTCCATCTTCTTCTCATGTAAGCAACTGCTACTTTTAACACAGCGATGTCTTCGGCCAATTGTCCGACTATGTACCAGCTTCATACAAGTTAAATACTAGTTCATTTACGCAAACTTAATTTTTACGTCATCAAAAAAAGTACCACGCAATTTGCCTGCAGCGAAACTCTAACATCAAGAACTTTATTCGCGAGCAACGTCACTCTGAATATTATAAGAGAGCCTAAAAGAGAGTTAAATTCAATCGTAGCGTGATAGATGGCTCGTTGGGGGATATTATTACTATTATTTCCGTCACTGGTGAACTACCATACAAACAACCAACTGGGTTTGATTTCCGCTCCAAAATACCAGTATAAATTCTCTAGGGTACCTATAGTCCACAGCTACTCCTTAATGGCGCATATAATTAAAACTGTATAAGAGAGCAAAAGAGAGGAATTTTTTTTTTTAAGTTCGAAA